AAAAAAAAAAAAAAAAAAAAAAAAAAAAAAAAAAAAAAAAAAAAAAAAAAAAAAGAGAGAGAGAGAGACGTAAAAGAAGAACATTATTAACTACACCAAAAGTGTTGATGAACATAAACAAACTATACTTTTTAAATTACTAATATACAATATTCATTATAATATCCATTTATCATAATACTTTTACAGTTGCCATAAACCATGCTCCTGCTAGAGATGATACATATTCCTTAAATAAGGATGGAGCATAATAATAATAAATAAAAAAAAATTAATATGCTGATGGAGCATAATAATAATAATAAAAAAAAACCATATTCTTCAATGATTTAAAATTAAGGGGGGAAAATGATCTAAACACTCACAAAAAACACCCACTTTTCACTGAGTCAGATCATTTGACTCGGCTCACCACTAGGAGCCGACTCTTTCAGTTACCAAACGACTCTTTGCTAAATATTTATAGTATTTTTTAGTATAAATTACCCTGTAAGCGTAACAGCATTGCTTACACCTACAAAAAAGACAAAAAATGAAAACAAAACAGAACAAAACAAAACAAAAAAAAAAGATCCGACTCATATATGCGAGGTGCGAGGCAAACTGGCAAGATATTTTCCCAAAAATAATCTAGAAAATAAACTCAACTCTGATTTGTTTCAAAAATAAAACTACCTCCTACATGTTTACAGAAATCGCAGGTTCATTTGTTCATTTGCTTTCCACAACTAGCTGAGTTTGGTGTGACGATCCTCCACGCTTTGAATAACTTAATGCACATTTAGATCAGTCAAGGAAAGAAAACACACCATCACAAAACCACCATCACCATGGCACTGACCAATACTGTTTAATCACCAAGATATACCATTGAAACTGTGTCTGTACTTAAAATATGAAGAAAAAAAAATACTAAGGAAGAGTTTCTGTTAAAGGGAAAATATAGAAATGGACAAGAAAAAGACACTAGTGTTCATGAACAATATTCCCAGAGTCCTGGAGTCACTTAGCTGCCCAGATTGATTCTTTCCTGCTGAAGCTTCTTCCCACAATTCATTGCTAGTGAAGCCACTGTGTAGGAGGAGAGGATGACAACGGTGCTGCCCACAAACTGAGTGGAAGCTCCTCGCAGTGGCACTTTAAGCACTTTCCGTGGTAATAAGTCTTCTGCTCTGGACATGGCCTGCGCCTTTGCCTCCATAGATTTGCAGATTATTCGTCCTGGAGTGTCCAAGAATCAAAAGGTTGAGAGACCTGTAATGGTATGCTGTGAACGATAGATTCAATGTAGATCTGATGTCATATAATTGATTCTTCAGGTTGGATGGACCTCCAACCTGAAGGAGTGTCTTCAGTTGGGAAAACAGCTAGATGGACTCTGACATTTGGATCCTTGAATTGATAAGCAAAAGAAGATTGTCTTCTGTTCAAGTGTGGTTTCAAGAGCCTCGTCATTGAGCTGGACTCATTCAGTGCTGTCACGACAGGATCCTCCTCCATCTTCTCTTAGTCCTTCGTACTTTTGTAGTCTTCTTATCCAGCTCCAATCCTGTCTCAGTTCCCTGTATCTATCTTGCGTCAGTGGGCAGCTAGCCCGGCGATGGTGTAGCTAAACCTTAATCACTCAGGCGGACGCTTCTTAGTTTAATTCTATTAGCAGAGCCTTACTGGGCTGATCACGATAGGGGATAATACTGAGGAACCAGATGGCAGGGAGCATGCTAGCCTCATGTTACGCCATAATGTCTCATGTTTGACTCGATTTCCTGTATTTCTGACACATTTGGATTTGTTCAAAAGAATTTAGCTGATAACTGATTCCTTTTAAAAAAATAAATAAAAAAAAAAGCTAGCTTTGTGGAAAGTTCCCCAAGGGCCAGATATCTTTGCCTAGATATACTCTACCATTAAACTAAAATCCGCCGGTATATCAAAAGCAGTCAGTTCCTTTTATTGAAGCAAGATCTACAGCAATTGCACTCTAAGTAAGGAATAAAAGCCTTGGGGTCATGCTGTTATAGGAAAATATTCAACAACAAGGTGGTGTGACGCAGCCACTATAAAATTGTGTTACTGTTACCAAACTGAAGTTGATTGTTTTTCTATAACAGCACACCCTGAAGTGTTTTATTCCTCTTATACCACAGCAATGATTTCATATTTATTAAAGAATGACATGTTGTACTTTTTATCGATTTACAGTTACATTTAATGTTGTGGAACGTCCGTGAAATGAGCTAGTTCCTGTTCTCACTTACTTTATAGCAGCTATAAATATTGTCGTTCCCTCACCAGCCTCTCAAACTCCTCTGTCCTAAAGGCTTTCCTGTGTTGAACAAATAAAGATACAGCTTCAACTTTGACTGTTACAAAGCTGGAGATTCCTTCCATAATTGTTAAATAAATGTCTCCTTACAGAAAACATCACAATATCAACAGTTACAATTAAACACTTTTAAAAAATCTATTACTGTGAAGAATCTGCCATACAAGTCTCCTGGTAAGTTACCAAAATGATAACGTATTAGAATGAACATATAATGGCTAATTAGTCAAGCTAATTATTATTTACGTTTCTCTGTATCAGCTGTCATTAAACATTGCAAACCCTAACTACACAAAAATTTTCCAAAAAGTGTCCATAGCTAGTTTTTATACATTTTAATACTAAAGTTTGTTAGCTGTTGAGGTAAAAAAGTACCTCAAGCAAACCTTGGTAAGGATCACGGTTGACTGGTTGAGCGAGCATCATATTGAACATTCTCTCTTCCAGTTAACATGATCCTAATTTTACAATGCTTTTGGGAAACTGGGGTCATGTCCGTTAGTCGATAGTGTGTGATGTCATGCTTCGGACATCATGCCGTAAATAACCAAGTGACCCAGGAAACAGGGTCACTAAAGCAACACCAGGGTCGTTAAGACCTTAATCTCATGCATCGCGTCTGTTTCTGTGCTGGATCGAGTCTCCTGTCCATTAGTCCTGCTAATTAAATTAGATGTACTTCCTGTTTTAGGTTACTAAGAGCCGTTTTCCTCAGTGGGAGGTATTTATTGTAAATTATTGTAAATTGTCTTTACATGGGTCCCTGGTAAAGGGTAAAGGTAAAGGGTCCCTGAAAGACTAGTGGTTAGGCCTCAGCGCGCTGTAGCCCGGGTTCGATTCCAGGCCAGGGAACCACCCCCAGCCACTGGGGTTGCACACAACAGTGCGCTCCCAGTGCCCATCCCAAGCCTGGATAAAATAGGGGAGGGCTGCATCAAGATCGGCATCCAGCGTAGAAACTATGCCAAATCAAATATGTGTCCCTGCGATCCGCTGTGGCGACCCCTAACAGGAGCAGCTGAAAGAAGAGGATTGTAACAATGTAAATCATAATTTTTTAAATGCTACTTTGTACTGCTGCTTCATCTGGTTATTATACTCTCCTATGTCTATAGAGGACTGCTCAGACACTACAACTGCACACGGCTACTATATATTTTACTACCTTTTACATTCTTGTTCACATACCGTGACTGCACATATTCCACTGTTTACAGTTAGGATCTGCACTTTACCTACATACTTACTAGGCATACATACCAGTTCCCTAATATATTCTGCATATTTAATCTCTTTCCTTCCCTTTCTTCTTCTCCTTCCCCCTTATCTTCTCATGTTTTTTTTTTTTTTTTTTTGTATCACGCAGCTATAAAGTACCTGAGCCTCACAACAAGCCTTTCAGTATACAACTGTCCCTCCCATTTTGTGCACATGACAAATAAACTTGAAACTTGAACTTCGTGCTCTCTTTTGCATTTAAGTAAAGACGTAAACTCTGAAGTTAATCAGAGACAGAAAGCAAAAAAAAAAAAAAAAAAACAGTCAGTACCAGCAGGGACAATTGTACTGTCACTCTTTAGTCTGTAATATCCAGTGGGAGGACAAAGCAAACTTAAAGCAGATGAATCATTCGATTACTGGAACGCCCGCTCTGTGCTGCTGAAGCATTAAACATTACTTAGTTAAACGCAGAGTGTAAGATTCCATTAATCTGCATTTTAGCACTGTTTATAAACTGACTGGACATCACAGCTACTCTGAGCTACGTTCATGGGAATGTGGTTTGGACATGAAGATTCAAAAATCAGATGAAAAAGGGATACGGGAAAAGAGCTAATGTTTATAATTAAAGAATAAAGCATGACAGGAAATGCTGTTCTAGAAAAATTATCCACAATGATAACAGTGACTTGCCAACAATTAGTACATATTTTAATTTATTAATGACCGACACGTATCATGTATAGTTACATGTAATGTTGGGGAACATCCATGAGACAAGTTAGATCCTGTTCTCTCTTACAATATAGCAGCTATATCTTAGTTAATAAGACAAAAAAAACTGACAAAAATGCTATTATTTAAAAAAAAAAAAAGAGACAAAAGGTTTCCGTTTGGTTACTGAGTTTGAGGTTAGGGTTACATTTAGGTTTAGAATAGTTATAATTAGTTGGATTAATAATTATGTCAATGGAAGGTCCTCACATGGATAGTAACACAAAGGTATGTGTGCAAATATGTGAACGCGTATATTAGAGACCAAGAAAGGAAGGGCCAGAAAATGTGTGCGTCTTCCAGTGGGAGTAAAAAAAGAGCACACTGATGACAGACAATAAATGACTGCTTCCTGCCACAGTGATGTCATCACCTGGAGACAGTCACCCTTGGGGATGTCTTTACTTCCCCCGTGGCAATGTTTAATGGACTACGTTTTAGACGTGACATCATTTCCAGCCAGTGGAAAGAAAACTATTAGGAGCTAAAGAGTTATGTCTGATCCCCAGTGTCTCTAACCAGTCTCAACACACACACACACACACACACATCTACAGTCCCCTGCAATGCCTGTTTTAGATGATGCTTCTTACCCATGAGAACTTGCTCTAATAAAAACTGACTCACTGTGTTCTTCTTGTACTGCCACAGTCCCCAAAGAGCACTGACTGACCACAAGCATCCATAAATGCCCATTACAGAGCCAACTTGGCCTATAAAAACATTATTATTACTCCAGTTTGAATCAGTTCTGACCCATCTTGATCAGTGCCCTAACCATGTGTCATTTCTAGGTCCATATCAAGTTTGACCTATTTCACAAGACCACAACTGTCATGTTTTCTTAAAAGAAGGACTACATCTACCAAGCTTTCACTCAGTATATTGTGTGTGCTTGATGTGTTTTCCCAAGAAACGCTTCACGTAACAATGCTAATACAGCTCATTTTTAATGAACGCTAGTGAAAACCACTTAGTGTGATGCCATTTCCATTGTCTGGAAAATGTTAAAATCGTTCCTACTAGCTGTCATTGACTACAGGTACTGTGTAAAAAGAACAGAAACACAGCTAATAATTGATGAGAGCCAGTTAGTGTGGTCCCTTCTACCTAATTAGGAAAATGCTAATTCTTTCCTAACCAATATAAAGCATTTTTTTACTTGGCAATGCTAACATGGCTAACAAACATAGTCAGGATGATGCTAACTCTCTCCTTATTCATTATGAAGGATTTTTTTTTTTTTATTGGCATTGCTAATATGGCAAATATGTTCAGGAAAATGCTAATTCTCTCCCATTTGTTCGCATTCATTACAAACTATTATTATAAAGATTTTTTTATTTGGCAATGATAACATGGCTAACATCAGGAAAACTCTAACTCTCTCCTTATTCAATGAAAATGATAATTTGGCTAACAAACATAGTCAGGAAAATGCTAATTCTCTCCCACTTGCTCTCATTCATTACAAACTACCATTATAAAAGATTTTCTTGCTTAGCATTGCTAACACGGCTAAAAAAAAAACATGGCCAGGAAAACTCATTGTAATTATTTGTATTAGCTTATCATTCAATTTTATCATTAGCCAACATACTTTTTCTATTTTCCTAGTCTGGAAAATGCTAATATCGGTCCTACTATCTGTCTTTTACTACAATCTACTGTGTTCAATTGAGCTAACACAGCTAACAATCGATGTTAGCATGGTCCACTATACCTAATCAGGAAAATGCTAACTGGCCCCTACACGTTACATTTGACTACGTTAATCATGTCAGGAAAAATGCTGACTCACTTCTACCTGTTGTCTTTCATTACAAGAAACCATTTTGAAGGAATTACTTGACATAGTAACATGGCTAACAAGCATAGTCAGAAAAATGCTAACTCTTTTTTTTTTTTTTTAATAGTTCTTTGTATTATTAGCCACTGTGCTGTTATTTGGATAGTGTCTGTGCCAAGTGTGTGTGTGTGTTTGTGTACACAGGATAAGTTAAATTATGTTAAATAACAGATGTATGTGATGATTGTTGTTCTTAGCAGGATGTCATGTCTCCATTTTCGTTTTGCTGTTATGCCTGAGTTCACATCCTGTCACACTGCATTTTTTTTTTTTTTTTTTTTTTTTTTTTTTTTTTTTTTTTTTTTTTTTTTTTTTTTTTTTTTTTTTTTTTTTTTTTTTTTTTTTTTTTTTTTTTTTTTTTTTTTTTTTTTTTTACATACAGATGCCTCATGGGCTCATGGGTGCATCTGTGTGTGTGTGTGTGTGTGTATGTTAGCTGATTACAATCTGCTCGTGTGGGTGTGTGGATGTCACATTAATAATAGCATTTCACAGAAGGTGATTGTGAAAGGTAAAATGTGTGATCTGATGTGTTTCTAAACAGTTTAAAATGAGCAGTCTTCAGATAATATAGTCTAAAAGGGTCTATCTGTGTGTGTGTGTGTGTGTGTGTGTGAGAGAGAGAGAGTGAGTGAGAGAGAGAGAGCATTGATTACTGTGTCATTATTGTTAGGAGAAGGTCATAATGCTGCTCTGGTTGAGCAATATAACACTAAGAACAATACCAATAGCTTGTAAATTCTACATGGATATGTGTGTGTTTTCATCTACAACACCACAATGATGACTAGTGCCTTTGAAATATCCATTTTTACACAGAAACTTAATGTATTTGACAAACCAAGACCAGTTTAGCAAGGTGACAAGTGCCAACAAAACGTACCTTTGTCCTGCAGAGGGTCCCAAAAGTCTCCACACATAGAGGAAATTAACACTTTTTAGCAAAATATAACTTCATTTACAAAACATCCTCTACATGATTGTCATTTCTTTGTAAACACACATGGAGTTGTCTCTTGCACTTATGATGAACTCGTGGTAACACATTTGGTGTTATGCATATAATCACTTGTCCATTGCAGGCTTGCGGCAGATTCCTGATCCAGCCGTGAGAATGATTTCAATACGTTCTTCTTTTGTCAAAGGCATTCTTAAAGGCTATCTGAAAAAATATATAATATAAATTTAGTATGAAAAATCTTGGAAGACATTTTGCTAAAAAGTGTTAATTTCCCCTATGTATGGAAACTTTTGGGACACCCTGTACAGTGTGTAAAAAAAACAAAAACAAAAACAAACAAACTTATAGCCGATTTAATCGGGAACTGAGTTGGTTCTGGACACGTCACTGATGGAGCATATTGAAGGTGGGTGGGAGTGGTAAATTCCAGCATGGTTTTAGTCCTTTAATCCTTTAAGCACATGGGTACTCATTTCCAGGCCTGAGGGCCCCACTGTTCTGCACAATTGAAAGATCTCCCTTCTGCCAACACACCTACTCCAACACATGGAGTGCTTGATAATGAGCTGATCAGTTGGATCCGAGCTGTTGGCAGAAAATAAAATTCCCCTGGACCGGATTTGGGAAGTTTTCTGGTAGAAACACACCACTGCAGTGAGGTGGATCTCCAGCAGCAAAGCTGGCAAACACTCCCTCCCGTTGTTAACGCAATATCCTGCTAATACTCTAACACACCTGCTCCTGCTCAGTCTTTAGAAGACCTCTGTTAGCTGGATCAGGTGCGTTAATGTTTGGTGAGAAGGAGAAAACAAGGAAGGTGTGAACATGTTTTAGGTTTGCAGACTTTCTCAGCACATGGTGAGATCCAACACTGTGTTCAGTAAGTTAGCTAGAGGGGGCATGCTTCATGTTTATACATTTGCATTCGTGACTGACTGATATCACTGATTACTGATGTTATGATTCTGTTATTCCTGGGTTTTTTTTGTGTGTTAATAAACGTCTGCTTTAGTTTACCCTGTTGTGTCACCTTCCCTTTATGTATCT